AATAGCAAGAAACACAAGCAAAGCGAAGCAAGGCTAATCAACCAGAGATCAAAAGCAAGCAAGCAAGCAAAGAGCAAAAAGCGCTAGCAGGCAAAACAACCAAACAAGATAAATAAAAAAATAGCAAGAAACACAAGCAAAGCGAAGCAAGGCTAAACAACCAGAGATCAAAAGCAAGCAAGCAAGCAAAGAGCAAAAAGCGCCATCTCGCAGGCAAAACAACCAAACAAACAAGATAAATAAAAAAATAAAAAATAGCAAGAAACACAAGCAAAACGAAGCAAGGCTAAACAACCAGAGATCAAAAGCAAGCAAGCAAGCAAAGAGCAAAAAGCGCTAGCAGGCAAAACAACCAAACAAACAAGATAAATAATAAAAAATAACAAGAAACACAAGCAAAACGAAGCAAGGCTAAACAACCAGAGATCAAAAGCAAGCAAGCAAGCAAAGAGCAAAAAGCGCAGCAGGCAAAACAACCAAACAAACAAGATAAATAATAAAAAATAGCAAGAAACACAAGCAAAACGAAGCAAGGCTAATCAACCAGAGATCAAAAGCAAGCAAGCAAGCAAAGAGCAAAAAGCGCCATCTGGCAACGCGCCATTCGAACGGCCGCCGCGTCCTCCGAGCACCGACCAATGATCAGTCTGTGTCCGGACGCCGCGGGGAGAGCATCTCTGCGGGACGGGTGGTTGCAGGTCGGTTGGCAAGGCGTCTTCGCGAGTGTTGCGTAACTGGGCAATAATTGCGGGGATGTTGGTGTCTGATTTTTGTATGTGTGTGTTTATGTTAGTACATGTGTTAATGCGTCTTTGTGTGGGGGGGGGGGAGATGCGTGTGTGTCTGTTAGTACGTGTACACGCGTTATTTCGGGTACGTGTGTCTTCCACAACGTTGCGTTGATGTATTTATGTATCTTTAACGTCTAGATATTGTAGGAGGAAAGTTCTGAAAGGTCGTGTACGGTATGTATAGTGAGTCGTAGATAACGTTTCCTGTGTGTTCGCGTCTGTACCCGAAAAGTGTTGGTAATTCTGCGTGTGCGTGTAAAAATTATGCGCCTATACTCGTGTGTAAACGTATACGTGTGCGTATGGGTGTGTGCTTGTTTAGTTTTCTGTGTATGTACATGTGTGCATCTGTGCATGCATTTCTTTGTAAGTGTTTGTCTATCTAGGTAAATACTTGTGCGTGTGTATGTACATGTACTTACTTCTGTTTGTGTTCATGTCCTTGTTTACGTGTATTTGTTTATGCATGAACTAATGTGTGTGCGTATATTTCTATGTATATAGTTGTGTGTATATACTTGTATATGCTAGCCCGTGTATATACATGAGTGTATGTTTGTCTGTATATAATTATATAAGCATTTGTGTTTACGCGCGTATGTGTGTGCTGACGTGAGTGTACATACGTCTATTTGTAGATAAAACGGCCGGTTTAACGCTTCCATTCTACTTAACGTTGTATCTCTCGCACACTCTCTCTGTTCGTTCAGATTTACTCGGACGTCTAACCCATTATTCACAATTCTTCACTTAATAACACATTCCGGCCGTAACAGGAACTAAAGGACATGTGAAGGTCGCGGCGTCGTGGAAAGTTCTTAAGAATGGCAAGTCATTTCATAACAAGAGGCTGTTATCGTTTGCAGGACAGATAATACGTTTTCTTGTTTGTTATTTTTGTTTTTTGTTTTTTTGTTTTAGGGGAGGGGGATATGGTAAAGTTCGCTTTGTTATGGAGATTTCTTTTTTTTATTATTCATCTATTCTTTATATACTCGTTTCACATTAAAACCTTTCCCCTTTATTTCTTATTTATATATTTATTTTTAGAGGGGGAGGATTCTCAATTTTCTATTAATTTTTTCCATGTCTCCTATTAACGCATTTTTCATTATTTTTCCTTTTTGTGATTTCGATTCACTATTATCTTCCCTTTGTTGTAGAAATTTCTTTGTATTTCATTCATTTTTCTTTTTCATCTCGAATCGCAAATTAACTCATTTTTCCCGGGCTTTTTTTTTCGCGGGTAAACATCACTTAACGAACGCAGCCCACCACGAACCCAGAAAAAAGTTGTTATAATGGGTAATTGGGTTGTAATTGGGTAATGATAATTATAAAGAATCGTGTATAACCTTTTTTCCCTTCATTCTCTTATAGAGATTTTTGGAAGGAATTATTTCGAGAAACATAAACCTCATTTTCGGGGCTCTGTTCGTCTGGAAATTGCTTAAAATGAACGCTAGCTTGTGCGTAACTAGCGAACCGTTGCTGATGGTGGTGGTGGTGGTGGTGATGATGGTGGTGGTGATGGTGATGACGGTGGTGATGGTGATGATGGTGGTGGTGATGGTGGTGGTGGTGGTGGTGGTGTGGTGGTGGTGGTGATGATGGTGGTGTGGTGGTGGTGGTGATGATGATGATGGTGGTGGTGGTGGTGATGGTGATGGTGGTGGTGGTGGTGGTGGTGATGGTGATGGTGATGACGG